CCTATGACACCCGCCGGGGCCCGTAGTGTATGTGTGCCAAGCTTGGTCCGGATCGGTTCAGAAATGGAATTTTCTATTCGGAACATACGTACATACAGACAGACATACAGACAGACAAACAGACATTCAGCTTTATATATAAGATTACATTTTTTTGTACTCGCACGAGCTTCTGCGAAAATGCAGAGCTGTTTGCAGAGATAAAAGATCTGGTTAGCTTGTTCCGAGACCATGTGGTACATATAGATTTTTCGATGATTAACTTGTTGGCCGACTGAAAGAATCCTTGGTAATCGTCGCGTTCTTTATCCAGTTCTCCACCTCATTCTGGAGCTATCACAGCTTTGAGCCTCCGAACTAGGCTTTGAATTTCTTTGATAAATTAAGCACATATAAGGTTAAAACTTTGCGCTTGGCTGGCGAAGTTCTGCGACATGAGGATTTGTTTTGGACATGCACGCGTTATCATCTAAAAATGACTGCTACTACTACAATTATATCTATTCTCGCTTTTTAGCTCCGAAACCTCCAAAGCAGCCCCGCAAAAAACCGGAAAATTTCAGCACTGACACTACATCATACAGCTACTGTACTTGTCTCATTGCTCTTCGCACGAGAAGATGCTAGTTAAAAGGCTTAAACGTGTAAAGGCGCAAAAGTGTGATGAACTTAAATTACGCTTGAGAAATAGATGAAAAACTCGACCGCCTTTTACGTAGCACCAACGGTTTTAAGTTTGTTCCGAGAAATCCCGAAACTTTTAGATCATGGGGTGTTCGTATAAATAAACCACAATTTGTTTTAGGTCTTGAAATGAACCGCAGATGCGATAGAGTAAACATAATCAAACTTCAAGCTGTGTCCGGTACGGATTTTCTTCCTCCTTCCGGCTGCCATATTTCCAGTATGGTTCGGGAAGATGGAGATAATCGCTATAGACTACAAACATTAGTTTTGATCATGTCTAAATTTTGCTAATTTTCACAGTTTTCATCTGGGAAGTTTACAAGTGCTCTGATAGCCAACTAATTGGGCAAACCTTGTGCACCTAATTGTCTTTTCTTGGCGAAACACGCGAATTGTTGGGGGGGAAACTCGCAGTACACCTGATTTTGACCATTGACAGGCCCCAAAGAAAATTTTTTGGGGAGCTTCGATAGCGAGGACAGCAAGGTTGCAAGCAACTGTCTATCAAATTTTTTGAAAGATTTTGCTATTTAATTTTTCGAAAATCTTGAGTCTCAAAAAACTCGCATGACATAATCTTTATAGCTTGAAGCGAGAATCGCTTATTTACTCTGTAAATTTAGTAGTAATGATCAAACCCGAAAACCCCAATATTCCGAAGATTTCGCAGTGTTTGGTGCAGCAACGTGTTGTGCTAGTTCTTCAAAGCTCAAGATTTTTGAAAAATCAAATAGCAAAATTCTAAAAAAACCTGAGAAAAGATTTGCTTGCAAAAGGTTCGCCTTGCTGTCCGCGCTACCAAAACAATTCAAAGTCAAAAATTATACCAATTAGCAGAAGTTAAACGTAGCATACTCCAACAAAAAACTTTCGGATTTTCTCTATTTTGTCATCAGAAAGCGAGCGGTTTGTGCTATTTTACAGCTCACGCTGCAATTTATACAGTTTCATAGCCGCCGACATCAAAAAGCGAAAAGTTACCTCAGTTGCAAAATTTAGTTACCAGTCTAATAAATTATGTACCTAATGACCCGTTGCCTGCTCTCGCTAAGCTCTGATTGTACAGATAAAAATGAAAAGAGGTTACTCGAAGTTTTTTTGGTTTGTGACAAGCCCGATAAGAATTCAAAAGCCGCACAGTAAAATTCGAAACGATTACTGTCATAGGTTTTCAATCCTCCTTTTATAAGTGAGCGAAAATCTGTGCTGGTTGAGTTTTTCTGCGAAAAGTTGTGCTTTCTGAGAAAAAGATTTTCAAAAAGTAAAAAAATTGCAAAATAAAACTTTCCATATACGCATTTTATGTTTGGGCATTCCAATACTCAATAAACAGCAAACAGCGAACATCTAACATGCCATTGGATGCGGTTTTTTCCTCTTTCCGATAGGTGTTTTTTTCAGTTTGTGGAGTCGCGGAGATAAAATCATCACAATTCTTTTTTTGAACGCGTCCCAAGTTGCACTCGAAGAATATGAAACACTAGCTGGCTTACCCGGCTCCGCCGTATGTTCCGAATAGAAAATTCCATTTCTTAACCGATCCGGACCAAACTTGGCACACATACCCTTCGGGCCCGGCAGGTGTCACAGTCCACTTTTCGTTATCGATCGATGTCGATTTTATCGATTTTTTGCAAAATTTGAGCTACGGGGCTGGAAGTTGGCAGAGGGGTGTAATCGAGCATGCTGATTACGAATACAATATTAGTTTTCGAAACCGTGCATTACTTTTTGCTGCTAATCACCCCCACGGGTGTGATCAGCATGCTCGATTACCCCCCTGTGCCAAATCCCAGCCCCGTAGCTCAAACTTTGCAAAAAAATCGATAAAATCGATAAAAGTAATGCACGATTTTAAAAACTAATATTGTATTCGGAATCCCCATGCTCACTCACCCCCTGTGCCAACTCCCAGCCCCGTAGCTCAAATTTTGCAAAAAATTGATAAAATCGATATCGATCGATACGAAAAGTAGCCTATGACACCCGCCGGGGCCCGAAGTGTATGTGTGCCAAGTTTGGTCCCGATCGGTTCAGAAATGGAATTTTCTATTCGGAACATACGTACACACATACAGACAGACAGACATACAGACAGACAGACAGACAGACAAACAGACATTCAGCTTTATATATAAGATAATATTCCGAAGCAGTAAACACTCATTTGCCTTGTAAGCATTAAAACGTGATCGATTCCGAAAATTTTAAAAAATCGAAGTGTTAGTTTTTGATGTATAAGTAAAGTAATAACAATATTTTATGACTTCGCAAAAGCAAAAGCTCCAGAGAGAATCATTTTAGAAAGTGTTGGAAAGTTAAAGACACTCAAAAATTTATGGTATTGCAATCTCTTCAATTTGTTTTACAGTAAAACCTCTCCAAAAGTTTGAGACGCAAATTTTGAAAATTAGTTAAAGTTACATCATGAAGAAACATGGGTTGGAGATCCCGACAATACTTCGAAGACCACCAAGAGGCCCGGAACAAAAACGATAAAAAGAGGAAGAAATTCTGCATCGACTACCTTCTAGAGCGTTCGCACAATTTTATTCTGTTTCGATCGAGACTTGGTCCGAAAAACGGCACGAGCTCTCGGACTGGCCTAACATTTTGGTTACAGTCGAGCAGCTTCCCGATAAATATAGTGTGCCTGCGAAATCGGCGACACTTGGGCATGAATAACTGCCGCAGAGTGAAAAATTAAAAATAATTTCAGTGTCCTCTTTGCTCATTCTTATTTTTCGAAAACGCCGCATTCGATCAGGAGTAGTCGGTAAGTTCGAATACAGCTTTCGTTGTTTTGACCAGTCATATCGTCATTTGAGTTCAAATGACTTCCTGGTAGCAGCATCGCATTTGATATCTGTGACGAAACCCTTTCTTCCACCTTTTTTCTATCAAATAGCAGTTCTCTAAAACGTTAGTAGGTTTCCTCATCCTACTCAAAGTTCCCTTATCGGATGATGTACTGATGTGAGGCAATGGATGCACCAGAATAATACTGGTTGATAATTTGATTCCAAAAAATTAGCAGCGTGGTAATAAACGTTTTCTAATAAGAAACAGATGAAGGAAAAGATTCAAACACGAATAGTCCATGCGATGCAGCTTCCAGGGGGTACAAATGAATTCAAACGACTGTGTGACTGTTTAAAACAACGAAAGCTGTTGCTACATACCTTCTACTACATCGACCAAGGCATACCTGAGTTATGATGAATGAGCAAAGAAAATACTAAAATCACTAAGAACTTCTCTCTTTGAGCAAATGTTCACGTCCAAGTGCTGCCGTTTCTGCAAGGGCACTATATTTACCGGAAAATTTATTCGAAGGTAATCGAAGGGCCATAAAGGCCCTTCCTTCTACAACAATGTTGTAGAAGGAAGGGCCTTTATGTGTTAGGATCAGGGAACACATAGACGGGTGCGAAGATCAAGACTATCAACCCCCTTGGGCACCCATCGCAAGCTATGTCACCAGGACACAGAATTCGATATTCAGTCAACATTCTGTCACGGGAAACCGAGGTGTTAGCACGAAATACGCTCGAGGCGTGCTGAATTCTATCCCAAAATCCCAAAATGAACAGAAAAGAAGAATCCGCCGTAACAACTGAGCTCGCGCCATTAATGGAGTTATGCAAGTTTTGATCTATGCGTAGCTTCCAGAGACTTGCCTCACTTATTGTTAGCGCATCCCAGTCAGCGGTGGTTCTATCTCATTCTGACAAAAAAGGTGAGCTAATAGTTCACGGCCTTAACGGGAGTCTATACGACTTCTTTGACTTTTTCCTGTAAGTGATAAGATGTTTGAGAGGTTAATTCCTAATGTGTTCTTCACTTTATAGGCTCTGACGAAAGCGACTAGGCCGAGACGTTAACCGAATAAATGCTATAATTATCTTGGTGTTGGTTTAATCATAAAAGCAACTAATTTGATATGCCAAGATTTTTGGAATCTTGGAGCAGAGGAACTGTTTGTTGGCATAGGGCGCTAAGCGGGAGTACAACTTGAATATTTTTTTTTACAGTTTCTCAATTCTTAAACAAGCAAATGGATGAGGGGTCACGAAAGATAGATATTACTCGAAAAATTGCATTTTGTAACAAACTTGCTGTTTTGGCGTTCTGTGATTGGCATCTTTCAATCTTTTTCTTTTCTTCCACTTTCATTTTTGGTTCTCAGATCACTAATCTGCTTTATTAAGGTCGACTGGGTAAGATTTTTGTCAGAAGTAACTCCAGTCAAAGTCCACCATATTTTTCATCAAGAAAACACTTTCGCGATCATTGCTCCTCCAATCGACAGAATGAAGCAGTAAGCAATAAAGTTAGAATTGAAGTAAAAGGAACACAAATATTCAAGGGTTCATGCTTTGCTAAAAGGAGCTCCGAAAAAAGTACTTGCCAATATGATTATCACAGATTACATCCAATCTTGGTTGGACTGGATGGACAAACGTTTTGTAGCTCTCGTAGCTAGGAGCGTAAAGGTGGGCTTTCGCTATATCCGCTTCAAAGATCTAACTTGCAATATTTTCACTGCTTCACAGTGATCCAAGAAAGTTGATCTTTCCTTATTGATATTATTGTTTTCATCTTACAAATTTTCATTGGGTGGTGTAATACTTATTCGCATTTTTTCTACTCATTCCTAATACTTTCTGCTATTCATCAAAACATTCTGATTTTTATCCGGCTCTTCAACTTTCCTTTGCAACTAAAAGTATTTCAATGACTCTCCTTATCCTGAGCCTAAATTCATGTTTTTGTTGAATATAAAAGAACTGCGCACTACAATAGTTGTTCAAATTTTTCAGATATGGCGCTTAAGATTTCGCGTTTAGAGTTTGGCTGTAAAGAGTGCTGCTTATTAACCTCCGATGATTTGTAAATTCTCTTACATATTAGAAATCCACGCTCTGATGTGACATGTTTGATCTCGAATAAAGCTAGACGAAGTTTTTTTGCGATACGTCATGAGAGCCCGGCTCATAAGGCTAGGTATTGATGTTAAATGATTCCCTAGTTCATAAGGACAGGAAAATGAGTGTTGTGGAGCTGACATTTTTCTTGATAATTAATTATCTTTTCTTGTAAGCAACCTAGGATATAGATTATCTTTAGAAACAGAAGACGTATTGCTTTATCCAAGAGGAAATTTCGAAAGACGTGGAAACACAAAAAACCTAGATGACGACGTCTCAAATTTTCCAAGGAGAAGTTTTGAAATTGATGGAACAAGACAAGCCATCTTTTCTCAAGAATGTCACAATTTGCATAATCAAATCTGCTCGTACTTTCTGACAGCTCGTATGCACGTCCTTCCCAGCGGGAAAGGGAGGGGATCTGAGAGGGGACGCATTATGTCTCGCTACTTTATACTTCTTTCTTTCCGGCTTATGAAGTTTGTCGTACCCTGATACCTGTGCATAATAAAAGGTTACTGCCATACAAGATTAGATTCTTACTATTATGTGATCCCCTAGGAAGAGTCAAGGGATCCTCAGGGATCACCTTTCATTTTTAAAGCCATTTATCTTCCTGAAAATCAATGAAATGCTATAAAATTGTACTGCAACTGACCTTGAGTGTGTGCCAATAACAGATGCTTTCTAATTTGCTGAAATATCATCTTCACCTTACTTGATCGTTTAACCTTCTCGGTTTTCCAAGCGAAATCGGTTCTTGATTATAGTTCCCTCCTACTCATCCCCAATACGACGACCCTCCACGGTCGGCGCGTCTGGTCCTATGCCTGGTCCTCATAATCCTTTAACTAAGCAATGGTTTCCATGAAATGTGGATGTGATCACTGAGAAAAGATGGATTTCGTTCAAAGTAGGCTCAATTCGAGCGGCTAGAGTCCCTCGCGGTCCCTGTTTGGAACATTCCACCACCAACCCAGACAATGGCCGGGGGCAGCGGCCATGCGATTTGTGGGCAGACGGGCACCGAAAAATTAGTTCGCTAATTTTTTTCGGTCCGCTTGCAATCATTTGAAAGAATCTTGGCAAAATTTCAGACGAATGCTCGGAGAACAATTGCGGTTTCTTCATAGATTAGTTGCGGCGCAGTGGCCGCATTCTTGCATCTTCCGCGAAAATTTGGAAAATTGTGGAGGACCGCACAGCCCGTGGGTACCTTCCGCTAAGAGAAAGTACCCCAAACTCGAGTAATTAAACCATCGGTGACACCGCTCCCATGTAGAGTACTATCTTTGCTCGTCATACGCCCAGAACTACGTAATAAGAGTCAGAGCGCCCGCTGAAAATTTAGCCAGCGCTCGCTGAAAGAAGTTATTTGCCGAGCGCTTATAACTCCTTATTGCTGTACGCTGGTAGAACATACGACAGCAAAGGAAGCAAAGCTTGCTGAAGGTTTGGCCACGCCCCAAAATTCTGCTGGCAGCCTGCAAGAACGCGCAGTTTGCAGACTGCCTGCCTCCGGCGATTGTCTGAGAACTTGTCTGAAAACTTTGCGGTCTTGTCATGTGACAAGCTCCTAGGCTTGAGCGTGGGAAAAGCTGAACATGAGCTTCAATCGCCAATTAGGAGTGGGAAGATAGTCAGAAAAGCGCAAAAGCGGTACAAAGACGAGTGAAGGCGGCCGCGAGAGACTCGAGCTGCTCGAATCGGCTTGTTCTAGTCGAATTTTTGAGCAAAACTGCTCTCAAAGATGAGATACCACAGCTGCATTCAATTCTATCTCCGTCTTCTTTTTTTTTCTCAGGCAAGGTACAAGATTTTTCAGAACTTTTCAGTAAGGGCAAAAAGAGTAGGTGCTTTTGTTTGAAAATATTGGAAAAAACAAAATCTTTGCAACTGTTTTCTAGTTTCGATAATCTATAATGTACATCTAAACGTATTGCATCACCGATCTCGTAGAAGTTTGAAAAGGTTTGGCTTCAAAAGGACGGCGAAAAGACCATGTTAGGATGGTTCACAATTGTTGCGCGTTTTCTAAACTGCAGTGAAATCAAAATAATTTCTTCCCAAACCATCTTTCTGAGCGCTGCAAAAAATGTCGTAAACAGCAAACCTTCAGCTAATACATTCTGTTGTATAAGTGTCACTACAAAAAAGTCTTCCGATTTTTCTCCCAAGGTCTCACACAGCGTGTATAGTTCCAACGATCAGCCAGGTTCAAGCCAAAGTTTCTCGGCTGAGATTCTAAAAAGCTAGCCTTGCCAAGCCAAAATTGACTATCGAGAGTTAGCGCAACACTTTGCAATTGTTACACATATTCTTCCAAACAAATTCGAGCATATTTTTTAAACTTGAAGCAAGAATAATGTTTTTTCTTGTGTTTTTTCCATTTCCAAATTTTAATCTCTAATCAAAGACATGGAACACTGAGTTAAGAAAAGACTGCCAAAGGCGAAAGAAAATATAGAAAACTATAAGAAGCACCTTTAAGAAGCTACTTCTCAAAGTAAAACACTCCTCCATGAAACTCAAAAGTTTCATAGGGAAATGTTTACTTTGAGAAGTAGCGTTTGAAAAAAAGTTGAAAAAACGTACATCAACGACCAACCTAATATCAAACATAAATTTTTTCCCTCTAGCAGGGAATGGTCAGAGATCGAAGTGGCAATCCAAGGAAGCTGCATACCATTTCAAGCAGCACTCAACGCTGATTTGATTCTGTATTCGATTGCTTAACGCCTTCATGTGCGAAGTTATGAGTAGTTTCATTGCGAAAAAAATCGTACATAAAAATTGCGTGGGCACATTGTTGCTCTTTCAGCTCACCTTTGAGCTTTGAGGATATAAAGTAACCTAGATGCATGTTTTGGCTCAGCATTAAAGGCAGCGGCTCGGCAGATTGACCTACCTCAGATTTTGACACAGATGGATAGGAGGCCCTCCAAGTAAACCAAAACAGCAAGTCCGCGCAGAAAATGCGAACTCTGCAAGCCAGGGGGCGGCCCAAGCGCCGCTCCCCTTCCTCCTTTCGCTCCACTAACACCTTGTTCGGACGAGTATTCTCCGCTAGACAGCGCGGGACCCCCCAACCGCTTTCCCGCATTGTGCAGGCTATACAAAGCCAAAATTACAGGCAGCAGGGTCTTCGTGCCAGGGCCTCCCGACTTTCATTTGAAAATTCTCGTCCGAGCTGCCTTTTGGAAATTGAAAAAAAACGCCCCGAAAGCCTTTTCACCCCTTTTAAAGCTCTAATTCGGGATCTAGGGTCGAGAAAGCCCAAAACATGCAAAAAGATGGAAATGCAAAGCCTGCCGGGACGCTGTCTTTAAGCGATCATGGCTCTGTACTATCAAATTTCCGCCTTGCATGCACAATTCCCTAGCAAAATAACGGCCTTTGACGGTTCATAGCTTTGCCCACATAGACGCTAAGCAGATGTGAAACGATCGAAGTCAGTGTTTTATACCGCATTTAACGGTACGCAGTTTGCTTGGATCGGCCAGTTCGATTTCTGACTATTTTCTTGTAAGTTTTCAAGTATTCTATTGGCGAAATTCATACGACAACTTGGAAGCAAGCACAACTAAAGACTAGTCTCCACTTCACTGCTCCGCTTGTTTTCTTCCTTCCTCTGTGTTTCCATTTTGTTGATGGTCGACGAAGTAAGACTTACACGACCAGAGCTAAATGCAGACAATACATACTTTAAAGCAGGCAATACTTCGGCAAAATTTAATAGTTATGAAAAAGAAAATGAGGTGTCATAAACATGCAGAATGCTATACCTTTCAGAATTCGAACAAACAACGTGCCAAAAAGTGTTTTGAATGGATTGAATCGCACTTCGAACAAGCCTTGCATGCAGCTTATGCTCAATTCGTCAATGCAAGTGTGAGTAAGACGTCTAACCAGCTTGTGATGTACACGTAACATTTAAAATTCGTACTTTCAATTGGTTAAATGATATACTATATGTAACTAAAGAGCACTTCAAAGCTATGAGTCCGTTAGATACACTATTTCGTTAACACACTGACACCATGCAGTTTTTTAGTTGTCTGCCATTTGGGAACAAGACCTTTTTGCAGACCAGCCCACTTTTTCAGCATAATTACGTATGCCGCCATCTACAGTACATTTACAGTAGATCTAAAAGGCTGACAAAAAAAGTAGAAGTCATTCCTAGATTCTGTGCAAAAGAAAGCTCACGGAGTGAGTTTATTTCAAGTTAGCAGTCATTTTATAAAAATTCAAGTTTTGATGCACATGGTGTGTCAAGCGGTCCCAGGCGGTAGTCATTGCTTGGCACACCATGTGTGTCAGGCGGTCGTCAATGTTTTAAACAGAACAAAACACTGATGTATGATGCATGTGGGTCTACGTTGACGTTTTCGAAGCAATTTTGCCAAAATACTACTTTGATTTTTGTGCCTGCATTGACTATTATTAGAAGTGATGAATAAAGAGAAATAATTGCAAGTTTCGCTAGAAAGCCTGTGCAGGACTGAGCAAGGCACGTTCCAGTTAGAGAGTATTATGCAACCTTGTTTGGGAGAATTGCGTGGTGTAACTACCATGTATCTCGTGTTTCGCAGGTGACCTCAAACTACGAATTAATTAGGTCTCCATGAAAGGCTGCTCTAATATAAGTTCCATAGCCAAGAATGCGATGAGGACAAAGCTAAGTTTCATAAGCGCAAACAAGATAGATTTGATGCAAAAACTTTTTATGAAGTTTGACTTTCTGCTCGTAGCGAAATTTCTCAGTGCATGCTGGAGCTACTAACCTTAATCTTACTGATGTCACGACGTATGAAATAGCGACACTGGCATCGGTGGCGGACTGAAATGGTGGGGGAGCGGAATTTCTGAGAGTTACTTGTAGGGGTTAGAAAAATGAGCGACTTGCTTGTATTCGCAAACAGTCAAAATATTCATCGTATTTTTTGTGACTAACATCGCCATGCCCCACCTCCTATTTCAAATTTTGGAGTTATAAACCTCAAAAATCAGAAGCTCCTAAAGGATTTTTTGGAGTGCATGGCTGAAGCCAGGCACCTTTCCTGGGATCGCCATTGATGTACACGCATTTTGGAACTATTCACCATTCTCATACATGGTGTCCTAAATGTATGTATTCACTATTTGGACGTTAATATCCCTCTCCCCTCTTCTTCAGTGCTGGCCATAGCTATAAAGCCACCCTAAAAACTGTAATTTACTCACTCTTTTTCGAAATTGTCGGAAAAACCACTATTCTCTGTGTAAGGCAAAACATCATTATTCAGAACAGCCACAGTTTCTTTGATTTTGACTGGAGAAAAATTTAAAATTGAAAAACGGTTTCCGAAGGCTGGTCACAGCTAAAAACAGAGGTGCGATAGGTGGAGCCGGGCCCCCCAAAAGTGAAGGTGGTTCCAGCTACCACTGGCCGGCCAAAAGTGAAGGTGGTAGTGCCGGACAGTCACCTCCCAAAAATGTCGACCGGGGGGGGGGGGGGTGGTCGCAGGCTACCACTGGCCAGCAAAAGTGGGTGGTAATGCTGGACACTCACCTCTCAAAAACGTTGACCGGGGGTATAGAGGGGGAGGGTAGGGAGGGGGGGGGGAAGCACAGAACTGAGCTATCCTTTCACGTCGTTGCCGGCCGCGAATGCCTTCACTTTTGGGTTTTGATTTTTTTTGCTGAAACTGAAAAAAAGGAAATTAAGCAAAACGAACGCAAAAGAAAGTATTGAGAGCATATTCTATGTAGTTTACTTTTAGGAAGTCGCCGTCGCCCACTGCGGCACCTGGAGGCCATCACCGACATGGACGCATATACGCCTCAGCACTTTCTCCGATAGAGCAAAGCTTCATGATGACTTCGGATAAATGAAGAGCTCTAACCCAACGGTCCTCTTTAGGGCCAATAACTGTAACCCAACGGCCCTCTTTAGGGCCACAAATACGATAAACACAGCGGCATAAATATTCGAAATAAACGTGTCAATGAAATGGTGTATTTTGAAGTGAAACTCAACGACACTCTACAGATTTTATTAAGTAAATTTAGTTATGTCGTACTGCGAAGAAAGTAGGTCGATCCAGGAAGTATTTACCGAGAACCAGAATTTTGAATGAAAAAATAACCAGAAATCATGCAAAATTGCCACTGTTATAAACCAAGTGGTTGAAGATGTCAGCAACTGCGACTTCATAGGTTTTGTAAGTGTTGCTCTAACAGAAAGTGAAAGAATCGGGTCGATTTGAGCAGTGGTCGCTGAGAACGAGAATTTTGAAAAATTAGGCGATTTTAGGCTAATTTTTGACTGCTGACATTTGAACTCCTAAAACTCTTGATTATGAAGATATGTGATGTTGCGACTTCATAGGTTTTCTAGGGTAAGGTTTGCCCTACTAGAATATATCTTACCCGTACCAATTCATCAAAGCACCGCTGAGATCCAGGCTCTTGAAAAAGCAGGTAAAAAACAGCTTTTTGAACTTCAACAGCTCGTAACTTCTCCAGAACTGCATGAATCATGTTGCGACTTCATAGGTTAGATTCCTCTCATCAAGGGCTTTCAGATGATATATGATATATGGGGGTTTGGGGCCTTCTTCGACGTATGACCGGGGGGAGACTTTTTAGGCCAAAGTCTCCCCTGGCGGCCTCCAGCCAATACATTAAAATGGGCGAGGGGGAGACTTTGGCCTAAAAAGTCTCCCCCCGGTCATACGTCGAAGAAGGCCCCAAACCCCCATATATCATATATCATCTGAAAGCCCTTGATGAGAGGAATCTAACCTATGAAGTCGCAACATGATTCATGCAGTTCTGGAGAAGTTACGAGCTGTTGAATTTCAAAAAGCTGTTTTTTACCTGCTTTTTCAAGAGCCTAGATCTCAGCGGTGCTTTGATGAATTGGTACGGGTAAGATACATTCTAGTAGGGCAAACCTTACCCTAGAAAACCTATGAAGTCGCAACATCACACATCTTCATAATCAAGAGTTTTAGGAGTTCAAATGTCAGCAGTCAAAAATTAGCCTAAAATCGCCTAATTTTCCAAAATTCTCGTTCTCAGCGACCACTGCTCAAATCGACCCGATTCTTTCACTTTCTGTTAGAGCAACACTTACCCTTTAAAACCTATGAAGTCGCAGTTGCTGACATCTTCAACCACTTGGTTTATAACAGTGGCAATTTTGCATGATTTCTGGTTATTTTTTCATTCAAAATTCTGGTTCTCGCCAAATACTTCCTGGATCGACCTACTTTCTTCGCAGTACGACATAACTAAATTTACTTAATAAAATCTGTAGAGTGTCGTTGAGTTTCACTTCAAAATACACCATTTCATTGACACGTTTATTTCGAATAGTTATGCCGCTGTGTTCATCGTATCTGTGGCCCTAAAAAGGGCCGTTGGGTCAATTGCTGGCCCTGAAGAGGACCGTTTGGTCATAGCTTTTTAAATCGAAATTCGTCCCGAAGCTATCTTCTCCGATTTCGTGGAAAGGCGGAAAAGTGGATGCGTCCATGGCGGTGATGGCCTTCGCTTCCGATGGGTGACGGCGAGTTCCTAAAACTGCAATACATATGTATATGCCTTCAATAATCCCTTTTGCGTTTGTTTTACTTATTTTCCTTCTTTATATTCAACAAAAAAATTTTCGCAAAAGTGAAGGTGGTCACTCTGTATCAGCTCAGAAGTGAAGGTAGGGGGAGACTTGGCTCCCCCTATCGCACCTCTGGCTAAAAAGCCACCTCTAATTTTCAATCAGTACTACGTTTCTTGAGTCTGAAATTTTTTGTACATATACAACATCAAAATATGAAACATTTTTCACACAGTCGCCTTTTCAGAAAGAAGATTCGTCCTGCATTTTTGCTTTAAAATGCATAAAAAGTTATAATGTTTGAAAAAACTGCTTTTTCACCGAATTCTCAAGCAAATGTTTGACTCGGATGAAGTTCCTAGGATTTCTTAGATTTTGCGATGAACGGGGTAAAAGGCAGTGCCCGGGCAAAAGCTCGATTCTGAGATTTTGTGCTTACTTGGGCCTATTCGCTACGCTGAATCCGAAAATGCACATTGTAGAGCGCGAAAATGGCGAAAAACGGCTCTAACACAGGAGGGAAATGAGCAGGTGGGCGGGGTCTCAACATTGCATAGTCGCTAATCTTTATAAACGAGCCTCGTCTTACTGAGATGAAAGCACGCTTCTGTGACGCAAAACTCGATTTCTGACGCGCGAAAACTTTTGTTTGAAAGTTGACACCTTGTTTGCATGGCAACGTACTCACGCAAAAGCTGTCAGGCTTTTTGCAAAGACGTATTTGCAGCACTGAAGTTAGAACGCTTTGTCTGCAGTTCGGTTGTGCGCAGTCTATCTCACATGACTTCAAATTTTACTACTTTGATCACCTCTTTGAGTCAGATCTTACAAAACTGTCAGAAATATTGAAATTTTGAAGTTTTGAGCGGTTTTCCGCTCGATGGAATGGTCAGAGTGGATCATGGTCAGGCACCATTCATTTTTAGAAAAAAAAACGTTCAAGGAGGAACCAGAATCCTCAGAATTGCGATGACGTTCAAGCTATGCGCACGAGTCTACCGTTGTACAGGCGACGTGCTGAGCACGTGACAGAGCTTTTCAAGCGTTAGAACTCAATTTCTGCGGTTCAAAAACTCGTCTACCTGGAGGTGAGATTGAGGCTCGTTTATAAATATCAGATACTACTCAATGCTGACTCGAGCGCTTTTCACCGTATTCTTTACGAAGGCTCGGCAAGTTTAGACCTTCATCCGAGTCAAACAAGTGCTTCAGAATTCAGTGAAAAAACAGCTTTTTTTAACAATGTGACTTTTTATGCATTTTAGAGCAAAAATGCAGTACAAATTTTCTTTTCAATGGCCACAGCTTCCAGGTGGTTGTATATGTACAAAAAATACAGATTCAAAAAACTAGCACTGATTGAAAATGAGAGGTGAATTTATAGCTGTGACCAGCCTTGAAAAACCGTTTTTTCAAATTTTTCATTTTTCTTCGGCCAAAATCTATGAAAATGGAAGCAGTTCTCGTCAATGATATAACTTTAGTTTGCACACAGAACAGTGGTTTTTCAGAAAATTCTGAGCAGGAGAGGGCAAATTACAGTGATTTTAGGGTAGTGTTTTATAGCTATGGCCAGCACTGTATTGCCTATCTTTAAATACCATTTAGTATGGAGCGAATCAGCTATCGCTTTCTGTTAGGAATAAGTGTACGGTAAAAGCTTCCAACATAGAGAACCATTGTGAAACTTAGAGAATACCGTATTGAGGTTTTCAAGCATGCTGATTTCATTAGTCTTTTCGTTATTCCTCAGGCTTTCTCGTAATCACATATTTGAAGAGACTGGAAAAACAATTTTTCGGCATATCGCTAACTCGAGAGCATTGCATAAAGTGCGGATTCAATATCTGGATTTGGCGGCTCCAAAGAGACTAGCGTAAAAGTTATGAGCGTGTTTGGTTTATTTCTGAGATGAAAGACAGTTCTAACTGCTCAAACCCTCATCAAAGCTTCTGCAGTAATTCCACAGTAATGAAGAGTAATCAGTGATTCGCTTCATAACATTTATACTGCAAATCTAAAGCTGAAGCCAGCCATCTCTATAAAATTGTGCCTGAAGTAGGCAAAAGACTTTTTGGAAAGAGAAAAATCAACGATCAAACAGGGTATGTATGCATTTGGGACACCCTGTTTGTTGCTTCAAGTTTGACAGGGTGCCGAAAAATACTTGTTTTTATATGGCCTAATCAAATTTGAAACCAGTCTTGAAAAAAGCTAACCTTTGATTCAACTGGCTCGGCTTCGGGAAGGCGGGGTTTTGTGACGTGATTGAGGCAGCTCGCCACCGCGACGCACCTGCGACTCCTTCGCGCGAGTGCTCTCTGATCACTAGCCAGCCTTAATTAGGTCACGGAGCCCCGTCTTCCCGAAGCCAAGCCAGTTGAATTCAAGGTAAGTGCTAATGTTTCCGCATTATTTCGGGGATCGATAAATTTGCTGCAATCAAGAATAAGAGATGTACACCTTGACACACCAGGAGATGTACACCACCATCTTCCATTATCTCAGCAATGGTTTACCAACTCTCATTAACTAGTTTGTTTCAGGAAATGAACAAAGTGCTGGTGGATATTTCCGACCATTTGAGTGATGCTTTTATACAAATAATTGATGAAAATTCCGACTGGACAAGATCTTTGAAAAAGGTTTTGCGTTTTATTCAATCTCCTATGAAAATGTTCGTAGAAAGCGCAAGAGCTTTTGCATCGAATGGTATATAAAGCCTCAGTACCTTTGTTCAAAGCGAGCAGCAAGAGAACTTTTGGTCAGCATGAGGCAAGGAAAAAAGCGATATCTTTTCTTGATAAAGAGGCCCGGATAAGGAAGAGTGACCAGTTCTTGCCACTTTATACTATCGTTGATATGAATATAAATTTTTCAAGTTTCATCTTTCTTCAAATAGGCTTTCCTGTGTTTAAGGTATCTCTGGCAACATTCTATTAGGTTAATGCATAATTTCCATACCAAAATAGGTACAGACCGCAATAATCCGGAGTAATCCCATATCCCAAATAGGATTCGATATATCTTTAGATAGAGCAAACCTAGCGCTACAAGAAAGTTTTTAAAGTTTTGCATCAACTTTGATCCAAGCGTCGATTGAAGCCAAAAACGAAAAAGATCCAAGTGCCCAAAAAAAAGAAAAAACCGGAAGTAAATTTGGAGAAATCCTTCAAAATTCCTATGCTCATGCATCATTTCGTAAAAAGACATTTCTCTATGCAGTTAACGTATTTTTTCCAGCTAGAAATTGAGAAAACGAAATTTTTCATGATTTTGCCAAATTAATGCTGAGATGTTCTAGCATTGACAGTTGTATAGTACATGCCATCAGCAGTAAAACTTTACATTTTCGCCTTCTAAAAGAACTAGTTCACGAGAAATATCGAATCTAGCTCTCCTTATCCGAATTTTCTTGACTAGTCGCTTAAAATTCGATATTTCTCGCAAACCAGCTGCTATAAAAAGCTGAAAATTCAGTTAACGATTCTAAGTTCCTATAGAATACAACTGTCAGTGCTAGAACATCTTATTATTGTTTTGGAAAAAACATGAAAAACCTCGTTTTCTCAATTTCTAGTTAAGAGAAAAATACAGCAGCTGCATAGAGTCCTACACAAAATGACAGTGCATGAGCAAGTTAGGAATTTATAAAAATTTTTCTGAACGGACTTCCAATCTTTTCTTGGTTTTTTAGGCCCTTGAATATTTTTTGTTTTTGGCTGCGCTTAGGTTAAGGTTGCTGCGAAGCTTTAAGCATTATCTTGTAGAGCTAGGTTTGCTTTATCTAATTACCAGCCGCTTTCTGCCGCTAAGCGGCAGATTCGGCTGTTACTCGGCAGCTTCGCTGCCTCGTACACTTTTCATTTTAATGTATACCAATGTAAGATCAAGTCATTTGATTGCCTGTTCGTACGAACTACTTCTGTTTATGACCTGTTTAGATCGACAGACCGAAGACATAATTTTGTACCTGCAAGTTTATTGAATCAACATCATAAGCAACAAATAGTATGCAATTAACAACAACATAGAATGGCTGCAACAGTGACTACACCAAAAAAGAAGATGCCAACAACAACGATAAGTACAACAGAAAAGGCCTATGACACAACAACAGTAGCGAAGAAGCATCCGTAACAGCAAAAATCTTAGAGTGTAGAACTTCACAGAACTTCGGTGAAAACGACGTTGATTGGAATGCTTTGGATTGGCGACTTGCACAATGAGATCACGCGACCTCGAACGGCTGAGGGCCACATAGAGTTGACCGTGACTGAAGACATCGGTGGGAAGCCACAATCCAACCTTGGTGAAGGATTGGCCTTGGGCTTTGTTGATGCTCATAGCGAGCGCCAATCTGATGGGGAATTGGGAGCGTCGGAGTCTGAAGGGCAGATTCTTGTTGTTTTTGTTGTTGTGGATCCTCGTAATCACGACAGACTGCCCATGCCGATTACATATTATGAATTTGCATTGTATGAGACGACGGCCCATATCGCGGACTTGTAGTCGTGTTCCATTGTTCTAGCCCGGATGAAACATCCAAGTTCCTAAGCAGCATGACGATGGCGCCTTCTTTCAACTTGAGACAGTGCGGCGGCAAGGAGGAGCTAGAGATTGTGTTGAGAAACTCGGTAGTACTAAATTGATTCTGGTCGTTAGCGTCGACGATGACAATTTTATCGTGCGAATAGCAAATCTTTTCTTCACCTTGTATGCGGCTTAGAACTTGTTCGTTTATGGAATTCACGTCGGCGTTCTTGGGGGCAAGGATAGCCTGATCAGACAAATCAACCAATGGTTCGATGCAGTCGCCGTATAGCTCTTGGACTATATCTCCTCGACCCATGATTTCCGTTGGCAGTTCCACTCGTCCCTGGCTGTCATTGACGGTGCCGTTGCCCACACGCAATAGAAACCTTCCAATCCGCATCGCGGCTCGTCACTCGCATATTTTCGGAAAGGCGGAGTACTATGAAATGCGGCCAAAGGGAGGACTGCTTAATGCACATGTTTAGTGCGAACAACCGGTAAGATCTGCCTGAAGTCGCCTCCGAGAACGACCATTTTTCCGCCAAAGGGCTTGTCCACTTGCATGATATCGCGTAGTACAGCATCCACCGCCTCAAAAGCCGTTTTTGGGACCATAAAGGCTTCGTCCCAGATGAACACGTCGTTTTCGGCGAGCAGTCTCGCGTCCTTCATCTGCCTTCTGTTGGATGATGTCTCGCAGTTGTTCAAGATATTTAGCTTGAACAACGACACCGTTGTGCGACCCGATGGGAGCAGGTTGGCCGCGATTCCTGTCCACGCTGTGCACGCGACTTTGCGCCTTTGACCGATGAGTATATTAAAAAGACATGTATAGGTCCACGTTTTCCCTGAGCCGCCCGGACCATCGATGAAGAAAAGCTTTGGAGCATCTGGGACATCGAGAGCACCAAGAATGGTGTCAACCGCTGCCTTTTGCTGTGAATTTAAAGTCCCATATAAGCGATTACCTTCGGCTGAGCGAAATGCAATATCGTGCGCGTGAGCGTGGGACGACGGCCTAACGACGGTGTGGGAATGTTGAATTAGCAATGTTGATATTGTTCTTGATAAGTCGCTCTTCAAGATCTCCGCCTTGCGCCACGTGCTCGAGTTCTCTGCGCAATGTGATCTGCGAACTAGAAGTGGAGGTAGGTGCCAGTTCAAACATTACTTGTTGCCGCGAGTCAAGCGTAGAGATCGTTTGTGCTGTGTTCTCGTTGATTGGCTCGTATCCTCGTTGGCCAACCCGTTCTGGGCTCGCACCATGCCTGGATTGATCCAGTGTCTCCTAAAGGTGTCCGTTGAGCTGTGGTTCCTGTTGCCGTCCACGAAGATGACGTTCACGCATTGAGGCAAGACGCCGTTCTCGTTCTTTTGGTGTTTCTAGGCTACGACGAAGGCAGCTACGCATGGCTTCAGAAGTGCGCCTTGCTGCGGTACGGGCTCGGGTTTTCTGGGCGATACGCATCTGCGACTGAGGTATGGAGGGGGACGGTCCATTGCTGGAGGGGGTCAATGTCGGCGCCACCATGGTCTCTGTAATAACAGTAGTCGAAGGAGGTACGACCGATGAAGGCATGGTATGAATGAACCGTAAGGCCGGGATAGGGTATTTTGATTTGTTGGTCATATTTGATCTCGTGGATAAACCATTTTGATTTTGTTGATGAGCTAATCAGTCGACGAAACCCGTTGCGAAAGGTCAACGCATAGTTGGATATCAGCTAGTCTCCAGAATGTGGCATATAAAGAATCAAAAAAAGCAAAAAAGTTTAGTGGTCAAAGTTGTAGATATTTTGATCAAATTAATCATGCTCAGTTATCCCTTCCTGCCATTTTCAGCTCAGCAGAGATTAGAACATGAAAAAATCGATAAATCGATAGCGCCAGTGAGTGATTTTCTGTGAAAAAGCTTAGTGACACCCGCCCCACCCCAATCTTCATATGTGCAAAGTTTTGAATTCAATCAAGTTTTCTAACATTTTAGGCCGGTCATAACGGACTTGCTAAGCGAGAAACGCAAAAAATCGATAAATCGATAGCGCCACTTGGTGATTTTCGGTGAAAAAGCTTAGTGACACCCGCCCCACCCCGATCTTCATGTGTGCAAAGTTTCGTTTGAATTCAATGAAGTTTTCTAACATTTTAGGCCGGTCATAAAAAAATGCTTATCCAAATATTATATAAGTATTGATATATCGAATCTTTGTATAGGATTATTCCGAATTACTGCGGTCTGTACCTATTTTGGTGCAGGAATCAAGCATCAACCATTGCCCCCTCCCCCGAGGACGGAAAGAAACACGAAATTTTTGAAATTTTCTTACAAGAGTTATAAAAATGTACAAGTAACTTGTTTATTTTTTCCAAAAATAAATCATCAATCTAATAATTTAAATCAATCAATTTTTTTTCGAGGGAAAAATTTTTTTCCAAGATTTTAGAGGTCATGGACCCGCAAAAATTTTGAGCAGCACCCTAAAAATTCTTTCGGAGTGCGTGGCGAGCCACATTTATTTGAAAAAAATTTTTTGCTGCACCACCCCCCCTCCCCCCGGTGCGAGATCCTGGGAGGACCGCCATTGGCATTTACCTAATTCAAGTTGGCATTAACCTAATACAAAAAAATTTTTCTGATGAAGGTGCGTGGCATTAGCCACGCACCGAGAAAAAATTTCTGGTATGCTTCTCAAGGTTTTCGCGGGCCCGTAGCCCCAAAATTTCAGAAAAATTGAATTTTTGAAAAATTTTAAAAATTATTTTAATTATTTACAAGTCTAAACAAGTCACTTGCAAATTTTTATAACTTTCAAAAATTTCACGACCCATTCTCGGGGCGCCCCCCTTCGGTACGCCACTGAAGTGGACCTACTGTTTTGGATCTGCTTTATAGTGGTTAGAGTTCTTGTGGAAGTGTTAGGTGTTAGAGGTCTTTTAGAGGTGTTAAAGGTCATTCATAACGTACCTTTTGCAAAATTGGGTGGTCAATAAAAATGACGACCGGGATCAAAAGTGGGGTGAGACCAGACATGCGATAGTAGGAAACGATTCTCCCCTTACCTTCACTTTCAGCTTGCACAGCGTGAACACTAAACCTTTTCAAGGATCCTCTATCGCACCTCTGAGTAAGACACGCCACACCTTGGCGATTGTGTTGACGGGTCAGAGAGAAGAGAGGTTGTAATCGAGGCGATATTGATGTTAGCAACAACATAATAATATTAACAATGTTAAATAAACCCATGATGCAAGTTAGAAGCATACTGAGATATCTGAGGCGCAGCGGCGCACCCCCCCCCCCCCACAAGGCCGTGATATTTATGAAAATTACTCGAACCATAAGAATGTGCAAGCGACTCGTTTATTTTTTTCGGGTGTTCTCAGCCGGCTTGTCGCATGTTTTTTGGAAGGGCAACCTGACGCTGGAATTGTAAGCAAAGTTTTTGCCGCAGAAATCATGCTCAGGGTAGAATCGAACCCGTGACCTTTAGCACGGTAATATTACACGAGCACTAACCATTAGACTAACTCTGCTCATTGTTTGTACTTGTAAATAATCAAAGTAATTTTTGAATTTTCAAAATCCATTCAGCCTTATGGAAAATCTTCCTCAAGGGCGTGGCTGACACGCCCTCTTTATCTGACGGGGTTATGGGCGCGCGAAAATTTTGAGGAGCATACAAAAACTTTTTTCTGGATGCGTGGCTAATGCCACGCACCTTCTTCCATTGGATATGCCTTCCTGTACAAGTCGTAATCTAGTCAGACACAACCGCCCACACCCATGTTGCGCGAACATGGGCGTCTGAACGTGCAAGAGCCCAGTAAGGTAGTGTCGGGCAGGTTTACAATGCCTGGACACCTACGCAATCGTATGTGTGTAAATTGTGTGAAAAAGCGCGCTTTTTCAATGTGGCTCAAAACATCAAATGACTCAATCTCTAGTCATCGAGTAAGATTCAATGATTGTTATGTTGCAATAGATTTGCCTCTTTTCAAATTTGATTTGATTTGAGATTCCAAAAGATTAGAGGCCCGGAATTGAGAAATTCGGGGTCTGAACATGGTTGCGAAAGAAGGAGCAGGATTCCCTCCACATGAAGAGGAGTTCGGCTATTTGCGAATTAGCAAAGTGAAGGGCTTGATGCATGTGCCAACGTAAGCTTACATGCTGAATGGGCCAGGGAAAAAGAGGGAAAATAAGTGGTTAAGAGGTGTGATATGAAGAATTTCTCTATGCTTTGGTTTCTCATTGGATAGAGAATTTTTAATTCAAGAAAGTTTCATCTCACCAATCGCTATGCCATTCGAAAGCCTGGAACATGTAGAATTCAATGTGGACCGTCTCTGTTCCAGCATTACTGTGAATTCACATATAAAATTCTTATCTAGCTGCAGACTCAAAGGCTACAAGATCTAGGAGATCACATGTTAGAGTTGGGCCAGACTGCCGCGGCGCACGCTGCGCACGCCACGCATTCTGGACCATCAGCGGAAAGAAGCTGCAAGAAGGGGCAGAATAAACAGACCCCTGTCATATTAGATCCTCAACACAACAACGATATTTCCACTGAGTTGGATGACAAATAACCTTGAAAATGATTGATCTTTTGTACGATCCCGCAGGAAACCATAGCCTTTGATTCAACTGGCTTGGCTTCGAGAAGGCGAGCTTTGTGATTAAATAAGGCTGCTCGACGCACCTGCATCTTTCTCGCGCGATGCTCTCTAATCATTCTTAGCCTTAATTAGGTCACGAAGCCCCGCCTTCCCGAAGCCAAGCCAGTTGAATCAAAGTCATAGTTCCCTGCTGGATCATACAAAAGATCACTCATTTTCAGTTAAATCAAATGGTCCAAATTATTTGGAAAACTCAGTTACATAGCGTTGCGCTGGCAGATTGCTTGGCAAGTAGAAGTTTCCAAAATATGCTGGAATCAAGGATATATATGTTCACAGCAACAGAGCATGAGGCGTCTATTCACAGCTCCCATTCTCTCCTCAATGGCATGTACGTGCAGGCGGAGTATGCTATAAATTGAATTGAATATATAATCATTTGCTTAAAGGCAGTGTGTCAGCAGATCCTTCGTTTTCGGGAGAACTATACATGAAGGTAGCAGACTGTCTAACTAAGTCAAGCCCCAATTTGCAGCCGAATCGGTTACCTCCCTGCTGAGAAAACCCCGCTTGATTCCGCTCGCGCGCCGCAGTCTCGCTCGCAACGGACGAGTTGACCCCCCGCGTGTCGTGTGGCGCAATGTCTGGAGAAATCGTTAGCACTTTCGAATTTTTTTTGAGTCCTTGTTTTCCCTTTTCAGTTTTCTCTGCCTAGTCTTATGTTTTTGCTTTCTATGTGATCATTATCATCAAAAACATCTTGAATAATCGCTTTCAGTGCGCATAAAGCATGTTTCGTTGTCAATATAAGTGACAAAGATGTTTGTGCATCAACTATTCCAATAATTTCTACTTCTGAACTCACGTCAATCTTTCTTGACCGAGTCCCGGGAGGATTAGGAAGCACTTTATGCTTTGTACTTTCGTACAATCTTTGCATTACAGATATCAAGTGGCTTAATTGGAAGTGTTGAACTTGAACCATTGTCTGCAGCTGATTGTTTTTTGATCATACGCTGTAAACATTTCCAGGTGCCTATAGTTTACAATGGATTTGAGACAATTCATGTTTTTGCATGGTCTTTTTTTAGGTAATCAATCTTTTTATATCCAGAGATGGAATTTGTCAAGATCTCTATGAAACCTTTCTTAGATGTTCGAAAACGGGTGAGAATTATGGCTGTCTGGTTGACATTAATTAGTTCCGATTCAGTTAACGTCTGCGAATTGGTAGCGTTTGAAAACAGAGACGTAGCTGAAGATGCCCGAGGGCGGTCACGTCTTGACTGGGCTGTGGAGTTCACTCGACAGGGTGTAGATAGTGAATGGGGTGAAAACGATTTCAATAAAGCATATTGCGTGAGTATTTTTCAACTTTCTTCGCCCATTGTTTTGATGTTTACCATTTGTCTATTCTTTCTTTGACTTGTTTTTTACTGGAATTTTTGGTCAGAAATTTTATATGTTACTCAACGGCTTCATTGAGGATGGTCATTTTTTATTACTTTATTCATTGAAGCAAAGTCACCTTTGCTTCTACTTTTCATCACTACGAATGTCTCTTGAATAATGAGGTTACTCCATCACGGTGCAAATGGACACAAAGTGAGGTGTGAGGGTTACTCCTCACTTTTTGTGCACCATTTGCGCTCTGATTGTTGGACATGGTTCCGTTCTTTCATTCGTTAATTTTTTAGAGCTGTGACACGTGTCCAGAACGACTATGGTTGCCGGTGGCGGCGAGTACCACCACTTTAATGGGCTCATGTCGGTTCCCATCTCGAGGACGGTTACTGGTGTTAACTTATTTCTACACACCTAATGGTGCAGCTATTTGTAGGTGAGAGAATCTTATATATAAAACTGAATGTTTGTCTATCTGTCTGTATGTCTGTCTGTGCGTATGTATGTTCCGAATATAAAATTCCATTTCTGAAATTATCCGTATCAAACTTGGCACACATACACTTCGGGGCCGGGGGGTGTCATGGGTACTTTTCGTTATCGATCGATATCGATTTTATAGATTTTTTGCAAAATTTGAGCTAGGGGGCTGGGATTTGGCACAGGGGGAGGGGGTAAGAGGTAAATGAGCATGCCGATTACAAAATCACTGACAAGGCCGTGCAGAGCCGGGTTTGCCAGCTAGTTGAAAATAAAGGTATAATTATTTCGGTCTAGAGAGGTAAACAAGGATTTTTACAGACGTTCGGCTGTGCACTCACTTCTTCAGCTCGTCCATGTAACACCACAAGTACGCTCATCGAAGATTTCTGGTAATGCCGTCAAAAAGCAATGACGGGTTGCTTGCGGCTATTCTCATTTTTGGAAAGAAAAAGTGAGTATTATCATACCTTCATTTTATGCGCTCGGTTTCGATCTAAAGAAAGGCAGAACAGGGGGGCATTAACTTAAAATTTTAATATTTAGCTAGAAACGTGGCTCCAGGCATACTACACGCCATTTAACCTAGATTTGACTACAAATGCACAGCATTAACTTTCGAGTACTGGTAATATGCCCCATTTTTTGAGCAAATGTCGCGTTTCCAAATCGCGTTTCCACTGAAAACGCGAAGCTTGCCCGGGACCTATTTCACGTATTCTAATTTGGATCTTTAGAGTTTACAATGAGCAATCCACCAATGTCAACGGTTGGATTGCAAGTCGCACGGACGAGAAATTTGTGAAAGTGCTCCTAGACCAAATTATTTCACGATGAGAAGGCACAGTCAACAAGGAATTTTTTGGATGCGTACTTTGCTCACAACCCTTGTCAGAAATAGGGTTCTGTAGATCTTGTTCTCAGTGTTAATTGTGTCATTGTAGAATTATGTTGAACATACTGAGTTTGTGCCTATATCGGGGTACTTTGATCTGATTATGATCAAGTAAATATTTACTTTGACCAATCGGTGTGTTGTTAGACCTCACCTAATGTACGATTAACTCACAACTTCAGCAAATAACAAAATACTTTCAGTTTTCATTATATGCAAAGCACAACAATTGTACAAGATAGAGAGATAGAGTAAGAGAATTATTGATCAGGAATTTAGCCAAATACAAACAAACGAAATGTTAGAATAATGAAAGAGTTCGGTAAAGTAGTTAGGTAAGTTGCTAGTAAAAGTCTCAGACACCATCTACAAAATGCCCTTTTGGCCGGGAGCAACACCCAACCGGGTAGCGAGCAGCAGCCGTTGGAGCTACCCTAGCTTGTGAAAGCCTGGCTTTTGATCATAAACGTATCGCACTTGTATGGCAGTTCCATAACTTGAACATATGTTTCCATGAAACTGTAAAGAACGCATTAAATGACTGTTAGCATCAAAAGAATTGTTATGAAAACTGAACTAGAAAGCGCCTCTTTTCGTATTGACAATCGTTTGTCAAACAGACATACGTATCAAAATGAAAACTAATTGAAGCAAAAACGAGTACGATTTGTAAAGCAGGCCTCACAGGGGTGCACATTTTTGCAACAAAAGATGTCTGTATCCAAAAATGAAGCAACATTGAAAAAGAAGAAAATTTTGCAAACACGCATAGAATGAAATTAATAATATATCCGTTTCTCATTTATTAGAATGTAAGTAAAAATATCGCTAAAGACTAGGTAAGAAGAAACAGACTACCTTCTGATTTTCAGTTGCAATCCTGAACGCTATGCCTGGTAGATTGGTCTACGTATGCGGCAGCGAGATTTGTCTGATTCATTATACCTGGTTCGACACACACGTACATCCTGAAAAAGGAAACAATTTTTTCGAGAGTAAGTCAATGCAAAAAATTGACAAACTTTTTGCAACCAAGAACTGGTTATTAACCAAATTATTGCGCACGCCAAGTAGATGGTGTACTCAGAAATAACTCTGAAAATACCCTATTTCACGTTTATCAAAGATAGTCTCCTGTTTACTTGCAACAATCATTGAAGGCTCGCACGTGAGCTTAGTACCTTTCTTCCTTTACTGATCTTGATAGACGAAGATGCTCTAGGAAAACTGTGGGTAAGCTCTACATGGATTGATATTGTACAAGTTACATGGATTCTACTTTATTTCAGTCATTACATCAGAAAATGATAAAAGTCTTCTTGATAACTGTCGGAAAATGGATATTCACACGAAAAGAAGGGTTATGAGACATTTATTGGAATCCACTATTTCCACACAACAGCCAATACATAGACGGTGATTTTAACACGATGTCAATTCTAGTGGTTAGCTCAAAGATCAAGACTCTCTATTTCTATATTATGTGGATAAAATACACAAAAAACCGAGTCATCTTTGAATGGCAGGAGTATGCTTTCCACCTATAAATCAACACTCCTGTCTCAAAAACTCTCAGTGTAAAGAATCAAAAAACCAAAAAAAAGGTTAGTAGAGGAAATCAATGCGGATGTCGCAAAGACATTTTTACATTCACAATCACAAATTGAACAGACGCATACAATTGACGAAAGAACGCCTACAGTAACGTGTTGCTGAACTAGAGAAAGCAATGGTTCAAAGAACCTAATCACTTTCATTGGATACCTTCGCTTCTATTCTGAAAAGCCTCGTATAAGGTTCTAAAAATCTTTGAGTGAAGAAAATGCCTCCGACAGTTCCACAACCGGTTGATCGCATGATGGGGTCACATTCATCACCTTGACCTTGCTAGAGCTGAAAATAATGCAGATTCAAGAAATTGTATGTAAACCACTAATGTCTTATTCTCGATATGAAAAAAAAAACAATAACAAATAGATGGAAGGAATGCCGCATGTGGGGTTCACTTTTAGTAAACAAACTAAAGGAAAACATAGGCAAGTAAGTTATAAAAAATGTAACTTACCCATTCTCTTAATATGGAACTATTTCCCCTCATCTTCACCGATGGCAAGAATACACGACCATGAACGATTCATTACAGCACTGAAATCAGTGAAGCTGCCATACATGCCAGATCGAGACAATAGAAGTATCACCTTAGAAGAATTTTAAAAAGCTGGGCAATTCAAGATTCTTGTTTTCACTTGAAGCTACGTGGGTGAAGCTTCCCCTCCTCGCGTGCAGCTATCGCTTTCACCTCAGCTGTCTCCAAGCTGTAATCAAAGGTCGAATGGAAGAGAAAAGAAAACGGAAGGTATTCAAAAATTGCTAAGCACTTATGTGGAAATGTATAGAACCTGCCAATGAACAATTGTATCGAGTGTTTCCTTGCATTTTACTTGTCTCATATTTCGTATTTTCGTTTTGATCATTGTATTTTTCATTTTTCATTTTATTTTTCATTGCTATTTATCTTTTCAATATAATTGAATTTTTCATTTATATTTTTTTCATTTTTTTTCTTTTTTTAAAATTTTTTTCCTTTTTTTCATTTTTTTCCATTTTTTTCATTTTTTCCATTTTTTTCTTTTTTTTCATTTTTTAAATTTTTCTTTTTCCCTTTTTTTCATTTTTTCCATTTTTTCTTTTTTTCATTTTTTTTCCTTTTTTTTCTTTTTTTTCATTTCTTTTTCATTTTTTCATTTCATTTTTTTAAATTTCTTATTTTATTCTTCATATTTTTCCTAATATTAGCATTTTTTTCAGAGTTCCTTCAAACGCCTCTCTCAATGACGTATTCGACAACTCACCCAGAAACCGAAATTTTGGGAAACTAGACGAGATTCATCATTTCGATGTTGTTATAAAACTCATCTATCTTTCAATAAAAAATTTATTGAATCGTAAATTTTGAAGAAAGCAGTATATTACCTACCTGTGATTATCTACACAATTCAGTGCAGTTTTCTCAGCAAGAATTTTTCAGACGCAATCTCCGCAAGTATGACCAAGTATTACAATTGCTTTATGTGCGGTAATAGAGTGGAGCAGAGCCAGACCACGCGCTCTTCCAAAAATCTAGCGCATAACGCTATCTTCTTAGCGAGTCTGAGGATGTTTTCATCCGTCGCACAGGAATTACTGCAGCTATATTTTGCTAGCTTCAAACAAACACAGAAGTTCCTATGCGTTACTCATTTTATAAATACTGTAAGTTTTATTCAGGTGTATTCAAAAAGCTAAAAACTTATACTTAGGCACAATCGCTGTTGTCGGAAATAACTTTGAATGGTGGACGGTTGTGCCGTAGAAAGGATGAAACATACTACCTCGATGAGCAAGAAATACCGGCAGAACTGCTTCACAATCTAAATAGTGCAATCAGCCTTTTTGCAGTCAGTTTTACTGTTGTAAATGGCTTTCTTCGAGGAAAACTTTATCAGGATGGTATTGTGGTGGGCAGCGTAGAAGTTAACAACTACCTCAACTTCTACATGAAGAGATTCTTCAATAGCAAGGGCTACTGGATTGTCCCGCCATCTCACCAAGAGGCGGTGGCTGAACTAGAGGTAGTCAGCGTTTCTAGAAAGACGTCATGACTGCTGCATTTAGGCAATCATGGAGGAGCCCTCAGATGAGGCACTGGAGTCACCAAGTCATGCTCACATGCATGATAACATAGTACAGTCCCCGTTTAGCACACCGGTGCCCAGAAAAGGAGATTCAACGTCCTCCAAGGCGACGGTTTGAGAATGAAACAATACCAGCTTCTTCCTATAAGTTTTAGCTTCGATTTGCTTCATATTCAGACTGGTTCCTTGTACTCACCGGGAAGAGATGCAAGCTCAGATACTGAAGATGATGAAGAAGATGACCAGCTGCTACTGAAGGAGACGGATCCGCGTTTGCTAGACGCTTATTTCCTTGTTCAAGGGAAAAAGCTTCTTGAGCTGCTTCAAATTAACATGTGTGGCTCCGATACCAACGCAAAAAGAATGCGCTTGATTAGAAAAGCTTCCTGTCCCATCATTATTTACATGAAAGACGGTCCCAAGCCCGAAAGGAAGAGATGGGAAGGGCAGGATAAGTTGAGCGCTCGCAAGAACGACAAGCAGTTCGTTGGAAACATCTTGACATGTACTGCTGCGGTTACCACGGGCGTAAGGATGAATGTATTAGGTTGTGTAATAAGTGCTGTCCCATTTTTTCTTTCGAATTTTTCTCAATATTTTGCACGATGTTCTGCAAATTGTTTATACGCATTTGAAAGCTCTAAGCCTTCTCTACTAAAACTTTGATCCCGGTTTTCTACATCAGAAGACTTGAAAAAGTTTTACAGCGTCAAATTTGGAAAATCAAACAGGGAAAAAGTCCATTTTCGACAACTACGTTACGTCGCCCTCCTAATTAGTCGGAATGCCTAGGAATAAGCTCGAAGAAGTTGCTGCACCGTAAGCAAAGAATGCTCTAGCTTCTATCGCGCTCCAGAAGTGCTGAAGTTTTCAAAAATCATTTTTGTAGACTTTTAAAAAGTCTTCTTCCTAACGCTTTTCCAACGTTGGTGTTGGGCATCATCTGAAGGCATTCTAAGGGAAGACGGTAGGCGAATCATCCAGAAAAGACAGAAGGGATGATTTATGGCTTCAAAATTAGCGAATTCGTAGGTTAAATACTCAAAATTCGAATTTTGGGAGCCAAACAGCTTGGGTACGCGAGACGGTGAACATCGCCGTGACAAAGTCTTGCCTTGCCGACTTTTGAAATAAAATGTCTCTAAATAGCCGGTGGAAGGAAAGTAACATGCGCAAACAGTTATAGAGTAAATGTAAAAGTCTAATAAGTTGTTTTGGCTGTTGTCAAGCTTGTTTGATAAGTTTTACCAATAAAAATCGAGAAAATTTTGGAGGAAAAAAGATGTCGAAAATTGATTTTTCGGCCCTTTGGATTTTTTGTTTCAATGACAAAAATCTTTTTCGGTTTCCTGCTATGTTGGGGAATGATGCATATGAGTCTGCAGAGCAGACTTAGAGCTTTCAAAAGCATGTACACTTTATCTCAAATATAGTCAATGTTGCCAAGAAAAAACTAAAACAAAAAATGGGACAGAACTTATTACACGACCTAATAAGAGCCATTCCATACGGGGGGACAGTCAGGAGGTACGATCGGCGCGAATTTTTCGCGAAGCGACGCCGCAGCGCAATTCAACTAATGCAACGGCGGCAGCCCTGGCGCAGTATCACTTATGGCATCGAGTCATCGTCGTGTATTCATCCTCACCCCCACCTTCTGTTCTTGCCGGAGGAATTTGTAACAGCGGGGAGTTTTGTGAGTCCCAAGATTTGAACGCGGCGTGCGCGGCAAAGCGGTGGTCACGCGCGGCGTACCTTCTGACGTGCAGCCATTCCATACGTACTCTGGCAAAAAAAAATTCTTGCAGAAGCTGATACAATGGGCGGGAGAGTTTGGGTTAGCTATTCCTTCCCAGTCAACGTTCAATCGGATTTTCGACGAAATGCGGCCATCAATAAACACCGTATATCAAAGACATCAAGATAATATATTGCAGCGCATAAGAGCCGCATACGAGGTGAAGAATAGTGATGCATAGATATTTACCTGATTTGAAAATGTTATTTCAGCGCGAAGGGGAACCCACACCGTGGGATATTGCGGTGGACGGAGCATATGACTCCAGGGGATTTAGTGCAGAGTTCTGCAAAGTTTTAGCGGTAGACATGAAGACGAAACTCTGCATCCACACTGAAGTAGTGGAGCGCCGTCAAACAGGTTATGACCGGACTGACTGAGAAAAATAGTTTTCTCGGATTTCGTGTTATAGGTGGGAAGAGCGGACTGATGGAAAAATTGGGGTTTCACAATATGCTGCGATGGTTCCGGTCCCAACGTATTCCCATACGTTCAGTGTCAACTGACCGCAACCTTATGTATCAGAAGGAGATTGGGGAGTACAATTCGGAATTTGGGGAGAACGTAAGGTGGTACCTAGACCCCTGGCATCTGGCTAGGCGACTCGAGAAGCAACTCAGGGCGGTATGAACTGAACTCCTAGTCATCCAATCTCTAGATAACTTAGACGAGATGTAGGCATCCATGCGGAGTCAATGCGAAAGCATACGCGATTGGGCGGATGATCTGAAGACCCATCTATACACTGCCATAAAAGAAGGAGCAGAAGCTGGAAGTGGCGACCGCATAAAGCATGTTTTCAATAGCTGCTTGAAGCATGTTGCCGATGTTCATGAGTGGACGGAGGTAAACTAATTGTAGAGTTTACATAAACTTAGGAAGTATAACGTACAGGATAGCCAAACGGGGCCAGTAACAAAGTGCTTGCATAAGCCAATAGCTCCGAATGAAGAGAGAGGGAAACGAACAATCGCTACTGGAACTGCCGCTCACGAAAAGTTGAAAGAGATAGTGCTCCAGTCGACATTTCAAAACGATATCATGATTGCGAGCCCCTATGGCGGCACAAGCCAGTGCGAGACCAAGAACGCCGTCGACAGACTCTACTGTCCAAAAGAGCTTTTTTTGTAAGTTTTGCCATATGAGTTCTTAGAAATTGCCAACGAACTACACTAAGGATTTTTTAGACCACGAACGACTTACCCTCTCTATGTAAAGATGGCTACTTTACATTTGAATGCACTCCGAGAGGCTGAGTTGAACGGGGAAAGGGTAGTGGAATCCAGGATACGAATCAAGCGGAAGTTCAAAGAGAGAACAAGTGAACTAAAGAAAAAGACGCCCATACAACACCTATGGAGGAAAGAAATACACCAGTCATACGTTTCCACGAAACGTTCGCGACAAACATCATACGGCGAGATGATGGACACGACGTAATAACTCCAGTTTCCTCCGTTACCAAATACACAGACTGAACCGATTGCCGCCTGTTCTGACATTCAATCTGTGCGGCGCGCGCGCTCCTCGTGTACAGTCTTTAGTCAATCGGGATAAGCCGAAAGATTCCAAATGGAGCAGCGCATGCGCGACGCCACCGGCTCAGCGAGATAGATTAGAATCAAGAGACGCAGACTGCAGAGCGGCGCGAATCGTGCGAAGCGGACTCCCGTCAGTCCAATTTCCGCCTAACCTGAGTTGAAAATTATTATAGCGCTTTGTAATGCGCGCGGGGCCGAACGATAAATGCGCACGCCACTGCGCGAATGCGCGCGCACGCACGGTACCGACAGCGCTCCGAAAGCTACCAAAGAACAAGTCCTCCATGCAGCTTCCTTTTCTTTCTCGTCGTGCTGTGCGCATTCTCAGATTCCAAATTTAGCACATCGAAAATTTGAATTTGAATTCATAAAGTTCAAACTCAGCACCGATTCGGGACGCTATCGAAGGATAACCTATGTAGAAACAGAGAGCCTTTTACGTTCCTGCGACTAATCAATTACCAAGAACTGATAAGCCAAATCCACAAATGAAGGAGCAACCTAATCAGAGCGTAGTACCTTAGCGGGTATCCATCGCGCTCGTAGCTTGTGAGAATTGCATGTGCGCGGGCAGGACGGTGAGAACATAGTGGGCTTTTAGCGTACGCTAGGGATTCATGGCGCGCGGGCCGCACGATACGCGATCCCATTCCTGGACCGGTGCGCGCGCGCCGCACGCACCGAATGTTAAAGTAATACCCTACGCAATGATTGACTATGACTCCCAAAAATGCGCCTCTGGTAACGGAGCGAGAGAGTCTGTTCTTCCTAACTTCGTCATTCACAAAAAAATTTTTCAGGTGAGCTTCTACCGGTGCTATGTCTACGAGCGAGGTATATGTTGTATTGGAAGCAACAATGTTTTTTTTTTCAGTGAGATCAACTTATCTTCAAATGTGTTCAAAGAACAAAATGACAGTAAAAAAATTTTAAAAAACTGAATACGAAAAATTATACAGTTGGAAAAAACCCACCTCATATTAGTGTCAAGCCATCAACACGTAATCGCAAACTTCGAAATATCTTGCCGTACCGCATGATCGGTGAGCAAAAAAAAGCTGAATTTTTTTTTGAATTTTAGCAATGATACACAAATGCATAATACAAGGATAAAGCTTTACTGACCATAACCTCTATCGTCGACGGCATCAGAATCTGTCCCATTTTCGAATTGATCAGCATGACAGGTCCGATTAGCCCGAACAGCCACGTGCAAAGCAGTGTTGCCAACCGCTGCTCTACACGGGCATAGCAACGTGCACCTAACGTTTCAATTCTGACACACTAGCCAAAAAAAGTAAAACATCTCCACTTCCTAACGAATTCCGCACAAGAGATGTGCGATTTTCCCATCGCTGTTGCTATCGCAAAGATTACGAAATTAACCAGGGTAGCATCGAAAGGCGTACCTTCATCTATGCGATGGTTGACGACACTAGCAGAAACATGAACAACGATAGTTGCTGCAAGAGCAAAATCGTTTCGTTGAAAAAGAGCGACAGAAAGAGGGGACCATCCATCGACATCAGAATTGATGAGATCGGCTCCACTGACAATGATAGTATTTGCCAGAATAAGATTCCTGCTTGAAATACGAGAAGTAAGGCTGTTCTAAAAACAAATTTCAAAGAATTAAAAGAGAAAAACTCACTGAAGTGAAGTAAATTCTATCGCGACTTTTCATGGATGACTTGCTCCCGCAGATGCTAGAAATTTGCATGCTCGAATATTCTCTGGAGATAAAGAGTGGTAGCTGTTCGTTCAAAAAAATTCTACCAAACAACCTGCCTTTTTCGATCATTCGCACGACAATGAACTTGCCCGCTTCATGTACTGCGTTGCAACTAGCGTTTTTGGACAGTAGCTGGTTAGCCGTATTTATATGACCAGATGAGAGCGTAAGTTTCAGAGGTGAAAAACCGCTTTGATCGTGAGCGTTTACCAAGAGGGAAACCTGGAATAACAATATAATTGTTGTAAAAATGAGGCAAACGTAAGCTTTTCGAGAGAAAACAAAAGAGCGAATGCATACCTTTGAATCGTTCTCGATAAAGTATATGAGAAAGAGATACTCACGGTTGAGTTGGACGACTGAGTGTAGCATATAATGTGAGTTCCTAGGTTATCTTTATGTTGAAACCGCACAAACACTTTCAGCTGTAAGACGCCTACCTTTTGAAAAGTTGGTAGCATGAAGGTGCGGAGAGATCAGCAAACTGCTGCGGAATGAACTCAATCCAATAAGCGGCAATGATAGCTCCACAATAATCGCGTAGATCGCCTAGATAGGTGTCAGCAAATTTATATCGTGAGATACACCTACAAGTATCTATACGTGCTTTGCGACCTGTGCAAGAATATACTACTGCAAGGATATACCACTTCAAAAGCTCAACCTAGGTAATTCGTTGTAGATTATAAACGAATTACTTAGATTGAGCTTTTAAAGTAGTATCGAAACGCAATGTCGTACACCTCTCTTAATAGTTCCTGAGATACGTTTGATCGAGAGAGCTCATCCGCGTAAATCCATCAATAGACCAGCTCGAATGCTTCATAGTTAGCATCTGCAAAAAGCAAGAGATGTCACACGATGTTTGCATAGTACATCCCAATTTCAGCACAACGTAACAACAAAGCAAGGGATTATACAAATGCGACACGGACTACCGGAAAAGCTCAAAATTATTTCTGAGATGCCATACACTTTGAAACATCAGATGATCACAAGCCTCGCACTAACCTTATAACCTAAAACTCTTGTAGAACATGGACAACGAGCCTTTGAGATGATATAAATGTAGTAGTAGAAAGACATCTTCAAAGAATATGCAATCATTTTGACAAAAAGGCTGCATTTCGCAAGAGGGAATGGCAAATATCTGCTTACGTCCTTCCAAGTGACGCCATTCTGCGCGCGAGTGGCGGGGAGTACTCGTCCGCCTTAGCTACGCGGGGTATCCAAAAACCGGGGTTTTTGCGATTTACACACACTTTTCGACACGGATACGGTTAAACTGGATCAAGAACATTCCTAAACCGCAAGAATTCCGATACCCATATTCTGCTGACACACTGCCTTTAAGCGAAAACAGCGACGAGGACCATCCATTACGCCCGCAGCATTCGAACATGGTTTTTGTAGCACGAACGTCACCAGTGCTTTTGCGAAGAGATGAAATAGCGTTTGGCAAATGATTTGTTCTTTGATATATTCTATATTTGTGTGAGATCAATGTTTTCAAAATCCAGTTAAACAAGGAAATTTTAGCCTAGACCTATCACGAAATGATAGCGAAAATACCAGCAGAGTTTGTCTACTTTACACGCTGGTTACAAATCATGTTCTAAATTTTAGCGTTTTGAAAATCAGAAATAGGAGAAACTTGTCTGCGTGGTTTCTTGCATCAACTGCTTACAACACGAGTAACGTTTTGTCAAAAAAAAAAAAACTGTTGCACCGATTACCCTTCATTGAGTTAAACCATAGCTTTTTCACAACGCTTAGGTCTGACATTCTTAGGCCTATTATTTGAACAAAATGTTCTTTATCATTCCTGTGAGAAGTTCAGGGTAATGACATACGGTGTAAATAGGGTCTCGCTCAAAAACCCGTAATTTCACCGCCAAGCAGGGTCAAGCGTGTCGATGCGACCCAGGACCCCCATTTACGACCCCCCCCTTGAAGGTACCCATCCGTACGACCCCCGCCCCATCTACCCCCCCCCCGACCCCCCCCCATCTACCCTCTTACCTCCCCTGCCCACATTCCTCGCGGTAACCTATAAACGAATGTCAATCTCAAAAAAAAACACCTGCGTGAGAACTTCAGTGAGGTTCAGGTAGCAAATTTCTATACCAGTGGGTGCGCCCAGCATCTGTAGCACACATGCACATCTTCAATAAGGTTTGAGATTCTGCAATTTTTTTTGAATTTTCAGGCATACTTCAGGCCAGCAAATTCGGTTCTCGTATGCGACACAGATTTTTGCAGGAGAAAAATATGACATTCTTGAACCACAAAAAATATGTTTTCGACTAAGGAGCTTACTTCCTATCTTTTGCACACTTTTTCCTGCGATAAAAACCGCTAGCGCCATCCAGAACCATATCAAAAACATGCATGAGCACGGTAGTTTGAAAATTCGTAACTAAGGCCAAGAAAAGACTGAGAGGCTGCGATGAACAGATTTTGTAGCATAGTGCCCAGACTATCCATAGAAAAAGTTTCAGCCCTTGAGGAGCAAACTACTTATTCCCTGTAACCAAAGGGCCTTGTATCACAAAACTTTCCTCACTAACGTTGCTGTGCAGCTACAGAAGCTTCTATTTTTTTTCTCCTGGAATTTCGTGGATGCCTATAAATCTTCTTCCTCCTTTCCGTTACACAAAAATTCCCGTATAAATATATCCTTTGCTTAACCTTACCCACCGTTGATCCTTTTCTCGGTTTTTGGTGAAAGGGGTTACCTTGGTCCCGGTTCAGGGGTGAAGAGGGGGGGGGGGGGAGGAAATTCTCGCACAATCGCACCTACAGTACCAACACTGCCGCCTTGAAATCCTGCGATGTAAACGCGATTTCGCGCCGAAAATGTCGCATCGCGATAGCTCGCTTGAACCTCAACCAATTGAACTCTAGCTTAGATATTTGAAACCAGCGCCTTCTGGACAATCTAAGGGTGTTTTCAAAAGTTCCAAAATTTCCTTCACAAAAATCTTTTTTTAGGACCGTTGGCGGTATAAACGCATTGCCGCGTTGGTATCGCCGCACCCTCATAACTTTCTTCAACCCAAACATATGAAATTTTAGTTCAAATATTTGAAGCCAGCATCTCCTAAACCATTGAAAACATTTTCGAAAGTTCCAGTACCTTACTTACAAGTTTTTTTTGGCTTTATGCAGCGGCGATCTAAACTCGATGTCGCTTTCGAAGTGCCGCATTACTGTAACTCGGCTCAAAGTCTGTCAGCTGAAATTCCGATTAGATATTTGAAATCAGCGCGTTTTTATCTACTTGTGGGTGTACTCAAATATTGCAGGATCTTTCGTCTTGGTACTTTTTTGCATTATCGAGCGAAATATACGACGATATGAACGCCATGCAACGTCGAAAAAGCCGGATTGGTGTAACTTTCTTCATGCTTTCCCCAGCGAATTCTAATGTTGATATTCAGAACAAGCGAGTTCCAAGCTATCTGAGGATATGCTCGAAGTCTATAAAATCCCAAATTTTTTCCCAGGTTTTTTTTGGTCCCTCATAGCGCCCTAATTAATCAGGCTGGCTCTGGCCAAAGCCGTAGTAACCTCACTGTATCGATTCATTATCACAGTTATCAGTATGATGATGTTGCCCCTGAAAATATAGAATTTGTAGTCTGGCTCATAATTCTAGAATCATTTACGGCTTCCATGAATTTTTCGATTTGAAAGATCAAATTCAGTTTTTTGAAAAAAAACGGGTTATTCAAAAACATGACTTCATAACATAAATGGCATTGAAATGCTTTGTCAATAACCTCTATTAACCAAGATGCAGGTTGATTTGGATGTTCGTGGATAGATCAACTCGCAATGCGAAGTACGGATTTCAATGACTTATAATGTTTAATGCCACATGCCTAAAGCAAAATGGTTTGGATTTGGTGTAGCCCAAGTAATGCTCTAAACGACTGAATTAAACTGAGACTGTCATATGTAATTTTCTTCAAGATACATGCACTTGAAATGAGGTGCGCATGCTCCACTGACAATGTGGTGCCTCGTTTCCAAGACCGTAATACAAAAGATAGATTAACTGAAGATTGATTCAAAACTTCGGCTATGTTCTGAGTGGTACCTGCTGTTCAGATTTCTCATCTTGGAATATCCGATTCTGAGAAAAGGACCGTCTGGCGATCAGTGGGAGTGTGCAAAAAAAAGATCAAATTTCCGCAAATTTCGACCAAATCTAGTGTTATCTCAAAGCTGCAAACTTTCACGTATTCTGAACCTCCGTGAAAAATGCTACTTGAAAATGTATGAATTGAGTATCTTAGCATCACCAGAATATCCCTCATTTTTGCTTTTATCTTAATTACGGCTGCCATACCCCTAATTGGGTGCTCCTGCACCCAGTTCTCTGTACAGTTGGATTCGCACATAAAGGCTGTGTTCGCGGCTTAGCTAATTAGGAAACAGAGAATTCGAATCAATCCGTTCGCGACTTTACTTTTGTTTGAAGTGCTCATGGAGGAACCGTTTGCTCCATTTCATTTCATTTTTCAAATGATTAACAGAAACTGATGGCGTAAACATTTTGTCTGTCTTCAGTATTTTTATGCTAGATTATCTGTCTTCACAAAATGTTCGATACTTTATTTTTGGGTGGGCCATGGAACTTCCGTCGGAAGCCAAACGGTAACTTCAAAAATATCGAAATTTTTTGAACCTCAAATGCGAAATTTCCATATTTTTGGAATCTGTATAATTCAGACAGCTTGGCATCGCGAGATCATGCATTCTTCCTTCATCATCTAAACATTCTACTGAATGGAGATGGTCAAGAATACCTCCACCCAAGTGACACACGCCATGACCAAGGGAGCGAGTCGACGATGTCAGGCATGTGGCATGTGGCATCAAAAATTATAAGTCATTGAGATCCGTACTTCGCATTGCGAGTTGATCTATCCACAAACATCCAAATCAACCTGCATCTTGGTTAATAGAGGTTATTGACAAAGCATTTCAATGCCATTTATGTTATGAAGTCATGTTTTTGAATAACCCGTTTTTTTTCAAAAAACTGAATTTGATCTTTCAAATCGAAAAATTCATGGAAGCCGTAAATGATTCTAGAATTATGAGCCAGACTACAAATTCTATATTTTCAGGGGCAACATCATCATACTGATAACTGTGATAATAAATCGATACAGTGAGGTTACTACGGCTTTGGCCAGAGCCAGCCTGATTAATTAGGGCGCTATGAGGGACCAAAAAAAAACCTGGGAAAAAATTTGGGATTTTACAGACTTCGAGCATATCCTCAGATAGCTTGGACTCGCTTGTTCTGAATATCAACATTAGAATTCGCTGGGGAAAGCATGAAGAAAGTTACACCAATCCGGCTTTTTCGACGTTGCATGGCGTTCATATCGTCGTATATTTCGCTCGATATTGCAAAAAAGTACCAAGACGAAAGATCCTGCAATATTTGAGTACACCCACAAGTAGATAAAAACGCGCTGATTTCAAATATCTAATCGGAATTTCAGCTGACAGGCTTTGAGCCGAGTTACAGTAATGCGGCACTTCGAACGCGACATCGAGTTTAGATCGCCGCTGACATAAAGCCAAAAAAACTTGTAAGCAAGGTACTGGAATTTTCGAAAACGTTTTCAATGGTTTAGGAGATGCTGGTTTCAAATATTCGAACTAGAATTTCATCTGTTTGGGTTGAGGAAAGTTATGAGAATGCGGCGATACAACGCGGCAATGCGATAACCGCCAACGGTCCTTAAAAAAGATCTTTGTGAAGGAAATTTTGGAACGTTTGAAAACACCCTTAGATTGTCCAGAAGGCGCT